CACGTATTGGCCAAATGGAAAATCGGGCTAGCGTGTGGCCTTAGCCATATTTCACATGAAAAGTGACCCCGAAAGCGAAATGGCCGCAGGCGAAATGCCTAATTGTGATGTTGATTTTAATTAAGCGAAGCAAAGCGAGCAGCTCATTAGTCTTCCAACTTGGAGTAAAAAATAAAAAATAAAAACAAAATAGCATGCAGCTGCAACTGCAACTGCAACGGCCACAGTGAAATCAGAACGCTTCTGTAGCCACAAACTTGACCCCGAGAAAAAGAGAAATTTGTGGCAAAAACGAGGCTCGCCTCGGTTAGGCTAGAAACAAAATCAGCGCACGATCTTCCGTGGGTCAGTACCAGTTTCCCGTCCCATTGGCCACACATATATGGAGTAGCTACCAGCTACTGGTGGTGGCATCGCATGCTGCAGGCGAGGAGCACACGGTAGCCAGCATCATCAAGATTTGTCACAAATCAAGGCGGGCAGGCAACTAATCCAGTTCAAGTGCCGGCTGCGACACAGCGAAAATGGCAAATTGCCGTCGCGCTTTGGAGTTGGAGATGGAGTTGGGAGCAGTCACCAGGAGCACTCTTTGGCCAGCGTTGGCGTTGCCTGCCTGCAGTGCTCCATCGTGTTCCATCGTGGCATTCATCTCCAGATGTGGAGCTCTGCAGTCGTGCTCTCTGGGCAGCTTCCGCATGCCGACGACAAGTGACTCACTCGATTTGCTGGCCAAAGAAGCCTTAACTCCGTTATGTTTGCCAATCGTGAGCTTTTATTAATCTCGAAAGCAAACTCCTTCAATTTGGCCCCTGAAGATGTTGCTGAAAATTGCCACAAGGTCAATCTAAGCGGAGGTCAAGCTCCAAATTTGCCAAGGGGTCGATGATTTGCATCGAATGAGATCGGAGGGAAGTGCATAATAAACTTATTGTTCCTCAATTTCTAACACTTTCTGTGATTGCTGGACAAAATGACCAAACACCGAGTAGTGAGTGACTGATGCAATTGCAAGGTCGCACATTCCTAGAGGGAGGCCAACTGCAAATTGGCAGCACTCACGGTTCAAGCCACAACAATTTGGCCCGCAAAATTGGCCACAACTATGCGCAATAGATGGGCCATAATCACACACGTGTGAGGGCAGAAGCAACACGCCAACAGATTTATGTCGAATGACAGAACAGAATAGAAGAAATAAAAATAAAATAACAAACTAGAAATAAGAATGCAATTTGCAATTGCTGCTGCTGCTGGTTGGACCGTTAAATGTGTGGCACTGGCGAATCGAAGATCGAAGAAACCAAATTAACACAAAGCCAGGCAACAGACATCGCGGCAATTGCAATTGCAATCGAAGAAATGTAATGCGATAAGCTCGGGATAGGAATGGGGATCGGTATTGGAAATGGGAATCAAAATGGGTATCGATCGGTTAGGGGAGGAGAGGGGAATGGCTGAAGCACATCCCAGATGGACGCGTGAGGTTGGGGTCATCCATGGACCAGGGATCGGGATTGCAAGTGGGGAGACTTGTGTGTCTGTGTGTGCTAAATGTCAATTTGATACCGGGCCAGAATCCAATTAAAGCCACATGCCGCACAGTTGCAGAACTCGCATCTTTCGGCTCTGCAAATTGCAAATTGCCATCGATCTCTGGCTGCGATCTCTTGTCGATGGGTCGCCGGTCGTTAGATGCGTGCGCCAAAGTGTATTTGTGGGTCATGGTACAAATCCACCAGAGACTGAGGGAAGAGTCCGAGACGGAGGAACCAGAGTCAGAGTCAGAGAGACACGACAGCCGACACAAGATAGCTCTCTGACAAGAGACACCTTTTGATATGCTAACGAAGGCTTTCCACCAATGGGTTTTCCCTCCCCATTTCCCTTGCTTTCCTCCTCGTGCCGAGACTGTCAAAATGCTGCCCATGGCTGGCTGACTTGCTCGCTGACTGGGCCTGAAATTTTCCCACCCTCCATTGAGGCCTTGTGTCTGCCTTGGTAAAATGTAAATTTTCCTCGAGACTGCCACACATTTATATTAGAGCTGGAGTTGTAGTTGAAACTGCAGATGAGAAATGGGGAACGGGAACGGGAAACTTGCAACTTGCAACTTGGCAACTTGGGAGCTATCCACGCATGCGCACAATGCCTGCTTCCCGAAATAGAATATAGAATAGAACTGCTGCTCCCCCTGGGAACACTGGTCCAGTCCACACTGACAAGTCCACCCTTTGTGGCCAGTTGGAGGAGGAGAATGAGAAGGAGGATCGGGAATGCCTCATAACGCATAATATCCATTGTTGGCTATGAAGATGCATTGCCTTTGCCTTGCCCGAAACTAAAAAAAAATCTTGCAAATTTCCCATGACCGATATTGCCGCCCCGTGGCCAAGTTGGCCAAGTTAACAAGCGCCTGCCTCGTTTTGGGTAAAAGTTTCTATACCCGAGTGGGGCTGACTTTTGGCCACTTCATTCACAAATCCAAAATGGGGTCACACACACAACACACACACATCACACACACATATGTGTATGTGGCAGATAGCAGCAGCTGGCCGGTGACCACCCCTTTATTTGGTCTTAACCCAAATACTGAATGCTGCAGAAATGAGAAAGAATAAAAATTGTTTACCATTTAGCCATTTGGCCAAGAGCCGGAGCTGGGGAGCAGGGGACCGGGGCAGGGGCAGGGGCAGCATTAACTACAACAAACAGCGGAATAATTACCGCAACAAGTTGCTGTTGCCAGTTGGCAGCAACATGTTGCTCGTGTGTTGCTAATAGCTTTAGAACAAGTGCCATTTTGGCCGGCAACTAATAGCCAGTTTGTGTCGCTTCCGTTGTCAGTCAGTCGGATTCGCCATCAGCCTTAGCATCGGCATCATCATCATCATCATCATCATCATCATTGCGGCCGTGTGAGATTATCATTATTGTTATTGTCGCTCGTCATGTCAACTCGTCATCAACAAGCAGACGATGTAGCTACTGGAGGCTCAAAAGCCAGGCATCAGAATCTGCTAGATTTTACACTAAGAAAAGGAAAGGATTCCAGAGGTATCTTATCCTTAACAAGGAGACTTTACAGAAAGCCCTAGACCTTTCAAAGATGTTGCATATAAGAGTAGTACAATCTAATAAACGGATTTCTAATTATTCCAATGATATAGTATTTCCCTAGAACTTTCTCTCAGTGCTGCAGCTACTCCATCCATGAAGCAATCTCTCAACTTGACCGAGGCGGCTTCGTGTGTTGCATACTTCTCGTTATTGTTGCTGTTGCCACGGCACGCAGCAATGCCATTTGTGACTCCTGGGGCCACCACCTCTTCCTCTGTCCTCCATTGCTGCTCCTTCCCTGCCTGCCTGCATTTTAATGAGCACAATTCGCGCATTTATGATGAACCTCCAGTCTCCAGCCTCCGAAGCCTGAGTCAAGCATTAGCCGATTTTTATTTGCTTGTTTCGTTAGCGTTGCCGCCCGGGGGAAGGCGTCTCAGGAATGGACGGGGAGTGTAACCGAAACCACTCGGATTTCAGGAGAATTGCGGAAGGGGATCCGGGATGCCATAGCCCCCACACAGAGGCCAATCCAGATGGTATACCAAAGTGACAGGTTACGGTACAGTGGGGCTTGAAAGAGCTCAATCATTAAGAGATTATTTTTAGATTAGAATACAAAGAAAACGTAGATGAGGAGAAAGCATTTCCAAAGTTTCTAAATAGCTAGTTAATAAATCCTAAAATACCACAGAATATCCAAGATAATAAGTGTGGAAAACCATAGATTTCCCAATTGAAATCCCAGTCAATGCTCTAATACTTCCTTACACCTATCGTGGTTGGAAATCCCTGCAACACTATACCTCCGCTCTTCCTGATCCCATTGTGCTTAGGTGGAAGTTTTATTGCTTTATGGAATGTATAAAATTGGATAACATACCCACCAGACACGCCCCCTCAAATACAAGCAAAGTCCCCACCAAAGTTCTCACCCCTCGTCAAAGAGCACTCAGCATCCCTCACCTTCTTTTTCCAACCCCTCGGATGGAATCACGTGTTGCATCTCCTGGGACTTGATTAAAGTAACATAAAGCAAATAAAAGCCGACAAGCAAACTGGGCTAATAAATGAAAATATGAAGCGTATGTGCCGCCAATGTGGATGCCATTCGATGCCATTAACCCACAACGACCACGACCACGACGACGACGACAATAAAACCCGGCGGAGTTAGTTGGCAGTTGTCCGGCGATAAGCCGTGATATGTGGCGGTTGCCGCCGCCTGCTAATTATAACGATGGGACCAACTCCAGGGGAGGTCCAAGTCCTAGTTTGAGTCCTTAGAAGTTTGGGGGGTGGCCTAAGGTTGTCCAATTTCTGGAAGTTTTTCCTTGCGTGCGCCTGACATTTTCAATCAGCGGGCACAGGATTCTTGGCAGGATACATTCGGACGGGCATTTCTGACCTCTGCTGGAGGGTTGGGTGGCTGCGAGAGGATGTCAGGGAAAATTGCACATCTGTCAAATCGGCAAACAAGTGATTTCCGCAAACAATTGAAGAAAAACAGCCAGTCAGGATGGGAGGGAGGGTGCCCGAGTAGTGTCCATGATGGTGGTGGTTTCGCTGGCTCACATGTCAACGCTCCCATCCGCCCGAAAAATATCTCCGCTGTTTGTGCACGTAAATTGCTTTTGTGCGAAGGCCATTGAAAATTTTGGAGTAAAAAAAGAAAATACAGAAAAATACAGAACAGAGAAAGGAGGAAAATAAATTGAGATGCGATGGGTTTGAGGGGCGACGGCAAACGGCATGCGCCTTGTCATGCTTTTTTAATGAAGTGCCCGTCGTTTAAGGAACATATTGCCATCGTCGCCCCCGATTTGTTGATTGTTGTTTAAGGGTTAAACAGGCCTGTCCGCAAGAATGTCGTCAAAGATCTCTTTTGTTATCACGTACGATTACTAAGCCCCATCCCTCCTCTCTCTACTCCATTGCAGTTACAACCACAAGATGACAAGGAGACGTTCGAGTCCACCGGGACTCGAGGAGCTGCTGTATCTGGCGCTCGTCCTGCTGGCCATGGCCCTGATACCCACACAAGCCGGTAAGTGGTTTATTATGTCAACATAAATTATGTTTAGCCAGCCTAAGTACCTCGCATCTGCCGGGCTCTATTCGGTCTACATTCCCTGTCTATTCCGATTATTCTGCCATAAATCGCCGTAGAATCCATGGCTAATTAAAGCCATTGTGACAAATTGCCATCAGCTGGCAACAGCTGCCGTTTTGCAATGCGGATTCCACTTGTCCAGGGTCAGGGGTCAGTCTGAGTGACAGTCTGTTGCATTTTGAGTGCGAAATTTAATTAGCAAGGCACTGGGAAAAATGTATCTACAATATATAGAAAAGAAATTATTTGTTCCTGACTTTAAACTTAGGTTACAGAGCCTGAAATTCTTGATTCTTCATTCCAATCTTTGAAACTCTCTAGAGAAGATCTTGGAAATATTACCATAACTATTTTATCGATTATTTTCTCTCCGTGTGCCTCATCGGGGGTGTCCCAAATTCAATTGTGCCACGAGTTTCCATTTAAATGGAAATCGAGTGGAACCAAGAGGGACTCGTACTGGGACTATTACCGGAGATGGGTCATAATTAAAAGCAAGTGCTAATGGCCTCGGACATCATTACCACCATCCTCAGACTGTCCATTTAGATGCATCTGCATCATCTGCCCAAAATGTGTTAACTTTCACATTTACCCATGCGCTGCGCTCGTTCTTCTTTTGGGTTTCCTTGTCTTCACTATTGGGTCGTCTTTTGGGCGTGTTCGATTTAACGACTTGTTTAAACAGAACTTAGAGCCAAATAAACCCAAAAAAAGTGAGAGAGAGAGAGTGCAGAGGGAGGAATATCGGTCAACGAATGCCAAAACCATACCGTAGTTAATGCCACTCGAGGCAGTACCCACCAATCATTCGGTCCATAACCGGAGAAGGCCCAGTGCCCGTCGTCCAGAGCCATTGTTTAATGGGCTTTCAATAAATAGGCAACGGCTTCAGCTCCATCCCCAGCTGCAGCTCCAACTCCGACTCCAACTCCAGCTCCATCTCCATCTGCTAGCCGTGTCTCTTTGGCTCTGACTGATTTGGCCTAGTCAAAACGATAGGCGACAATAGTCAGCTCGTTGACCCACATTCATGGTACTCCAGCTCGAAGCCAGCTCCACGCTGCCTGCATTCAGAATTCTCGGAATTTTCATTAACACATGTCCGAGGCGCATATGGAAATGGGCCTCTAACAAAGCGAGGGAAATAAAGTGGAAAAGAATTTTGTGAATGGGCAGCCGCCCGAGATGGTGTGGAGAAGGTAGAAGAGTAAGGGGATTTGGAGGCGAGAACCCATGGTGTTTTAAGCATAGATTCCGGAAAGCCCCGCCAGGGCTTCTCACCTATTTATTGATTATTACACACAGCCACAAATCGGTTACACTAACAAGCCATGGCAAGGCAGCAGCAAAACGGCCTAATGGAGCCCCTATGAGAAGTTTGATGAACTCCGCAGCCAAAGAGTTTTCCCAGCAGGGCCTGGTAATTGAATTGTTCCATTATAATATTGGGCATGACTCAACAGATACTCCGCTCCTCAACAGTTCTAAACTCCATCGAAAGCCGCCGACAGCTGCGAGCTATAAATCAATGGGACTAGCGCGAATGTCAGCCGGGGGATCATTTTACCAGAGAGTGTGTGGAGTGAGTCCGAGAGTGTATCTATAAGATACACGCACTTCACAACAAGTGGCATTTGCGTCATAACAAAAGGCAAAAGCATCCATCGATCGTACGATCGATCGATCGATGGATCGATGGACTCGGATCCATGCCAATTGTTTGCCCAGCATTCGATGAGGCATCCCAATCGCTTCGAGGGCCTCTGCAATTTCAATCTCTCAAGCTCCAGCTCAAGCTCAAGGTCGGCGGAACGAGCATCATCTTCCATCAGCATCCAGTAGCCGCCACACATTATCATTACCGCGAAGATGGCAATTTTCGAGCTCCGTGCTTCTTCGGCGGTCGATGGATGGGGCGTTTTCATCAATCAGCCTCCTCCTTCTCCTCCTCTTCGAACTGGTTTTTCTCAGGCTTATTATAGATCTTATGTACACCTGCTTGGGGGTCTTCCAGGTCTTCCTTTTTGCCTGTCCAATTGACACCTACAAACACTACATGGTCACTGAACCTTGCCCAGCTTCGGGTCCAGTTCCAGTCTCAGCTCCATTCCCTCCACTCAAATGTGCTTTGCCAGTTTTTGTGACTTCTTAATTTATAACCAATTACAAAGGCATTAGTGCTCCGCACGAAGATCTTCAATATTTTTGTTTATTGCGCATATAAATCGCCGCTTTACGGGGCCCCAGCTTTATGGCACTTTTGCGGAAGCATCTAACTCTGTGCCCAGGCCCGGGCCTCCGCAAAACGATGATGATGCTCGCCGATGTGCCTAATTAGCTTAGTATTATCGATGCGATGCCATGGGATGGGATGCGATGCGATCCAAGGCTGTGTGTGCGTGTGCCAAGAGAACTTTTGAGCCCAGGCTCCAAGAACAGCAACACGGAGAGAAAATGTTGTATAATAATCTACGACAATTTTTTCAACAAATCAAAATTTAAATACCTCATAGCTCAGCCAAAAAATCATTAATTTCAATTCGAAAACCATTCTTATGTTAGTTTTTATTATATTAATAAATCTGCATACTCAATTTTAAAATTTAAAAAATTGAAATTTTTACCAATTTTTGAAATTTTAAAATTTTTTTATAAAAATTGCAAAAATCGAAAAATTTTCAACAATGTATTTTTCAACCGGACATGGCTACATCGATTTTTCTGTTGATTCTGATCAAGAATATATATGATTTATAGGGTCGCAAATGACTTCTTCACATAATTAGAAGCTTTTGATTATAATTATAATACCCTTGCAAGGGTATTAAATATCATCTAAGATGTTGTTATTTCTTATATGCGATCTCTGATATCATCAATGTTTAATCAAAATTTCTGATATCTATATGAATATATTTAATATATTTTCTCCCATATTTTATATATTCCCTCTTTATACAAAGAAATTACTTCAATTAATACCTCTTACTCTAGTACCTTCCTTCTGAGTTTCTCTCAGTGCATTCAGGTACTCATCATTATGGTTTGATATTAATTGCATGGCTCGCTGATGTCATCAGCAGCGTCATCAGGCCCTGGGCAGAAGCGTTAATCAAGATTCAGACGCGTCCAGTCATCCGCTTAGCCACGCGCATATAATTAACTTGGCTGCCACATGGACCAGGTTCAATGTCAAGTGGCAAGGCGGATTTGGCTCTATGGCTCTCCAGCTCTGGCTTATCGCGTTGATAGCACCAACGGTACTCCGCCTCCTGGTGCTTCTCCACCACCTCCTCCATCTCGTAAATATTTCATATATGCAAACACCAGCGAGGCTGTTTGCTGGGCAAACAGAACTGGCCAGAGTCGCTGACCATTGACCGATATGGCCAAGACGATGAAGGCGATGATGATGGCGATGCCGAAGATGTGTGTTGGCTGCGTGGCTGTGGAATTTCGTAGCCACTTAGAGAACAAGTACGCAAGCCGGAGATCACGAACTTGCGGGTTGGCCCGCACGAATGGCCAGAACGGGTCTCTGTCTGGGATGCTCGATGCTCGGATCCCCGATCTCTAGTGCTCCCGTGAGATTCGCCAATGGGGCGGAGAAACTTTCGACAGTGACACAATTAGAATCCCTCCTCCGGCACCAGCTACAAATTCATACTTCAACTTGAACTCTCCACCTCCATCTTGTATTGACTCTTGACCATAAATAAGCATTTATGCTGAACGACTCGGCAAACGACTTTCCTTTCATTTCGATTTGTATTTTGGCCACCAACATAGCCTCCTCCAGATGTTCGTCAATTTGTCAAAATCTTTTCGGTGTGAACGCAAATCTAAGCTTTAGGTTCACTGAGAGAAAAATAATACCCTTTTAGGTTATTAATATTTCAGTCTTAAGATTAAAACGCAGTGAAGAACGCAGTTTCGACCCTATAAACCATATATATTCTTGATCAGAATAAACAGCATAATCGATCTAGCAATGTCTGCTGGAAAAATAAATTTTTTAAATTTTTTCAATTTTTGCAAATATTATAAGGGGATACATCATTAAAATTGTCAAAAATTGGCAAAATATTGAATTTTTAAAATTTTAAAACTCAGTATGCAGATTTGTTAACCACATAAAAACTAGCATAGAAAAGCTTTCCGAATTGAAATTAATTCATTTTTGGCTTAGTTATGAGATTTTAAAAACTTGATTTTTCGATAAAATTGTCATTTGAAAATATTGATAAATGTATATAGTTTTTCCCCGAGTGTTCTGTCTCCGAGTTGATATGATAAATTGACCCTGGACTTCGAGACACTCATAAAAGACACATTTGTTCGGCTTAAATGCCCAAACACAGAGCCACTTAGTTAGCGCTGATCCGACCCACGCAAGTCCCGCATCTCCGCATCTTAAGATCTTGGCATCTTTCGGATCTCCAAGGGGGCCGAGGGCAATGACCAGGCCAGACCAAAGGGTTGCCGCTTTCCGAGATCTAAGCTCCCAGCTCACAGCTCCCCCAGTGCCAGTGCCAGGCTGCACTTGATTCTCCAATTAAATGGCCAGAAGCCGGAGCAGCGTGTGAACCAGAATCGGAGGCGGAAACTTAGACGAGGCAAGAAGGAAGCGACGCAGTCAGAAGACAGGCAGTTCTTTTGATTTTATCAGCGTTAAATTCTCGACTTCCTGCGACAAGGTCGGGGGCTAATTTCATTTAAATAAATAAGTCGGCGTTTAACTGCCGCCAATTTGAAGTGTAACGGTAGTGTGCGAAGACCAAGAAATTAAACCCAGAGCGAGAGTCATGTTGCAATTACACAATTTGGCTATTAACGCCTCGGCTCTCCCAATCTTCCAATCCCCTCGTGCACCTTTCACCTTGACAATGAAATGGTTTCCAATGATTGCTGTAATTTCTATTTTTGGCCTG